ATTAATCCAATCAAGATTACAATTAAATTTAGCTACCACATAAGGTACTTGTGTACACATGCATGGGTAGTTTTAAAGGAACTATTAAATGTTTTTCTAAGTGACTAGACCATTATAAATTTCTACCAGCAATGTATGAATAACTCAGTTTTTTGTTTGTTTTTTGTTTTTTGTTTCTTGTTTGGTAGCAGAGATTGAACTCACAACCCCGTGCTTCCTAGGCAGATGCTTATGTCACTGAGCTACATCCCAAGACCAGTAGCTCAGTTTTTAATTTCCTTATAAACTTCCAAGCATTTGGAGCTACCATTTTAAAACTTTTAGTCATTCCGGTACATGAGTGATAGAATCTCACTGGAGTTTTAATTTTCACTTACCTAACAGCTAATTATGTTGAACATCTTAATGCTTAAATGTTCTCTGTCTATTGTTTTTAATGGACTGCACTTTGTCAGTTTCTAACTGAGTCTAGGGGCATTAAGGATTGAACCTAGCGTCTTTGCACTGAGCTACATTACTCCAGTCCTTTTACGTTTTTTTTTAATTTTGAGAAAGGGTCTCATTAAGTCACTAAGTTGCCCAGGCTGAGCTCTAACTGGTGATCCTCTTGCCTCAGCCTCCCAGAGTTCTCGGGATTACAGTCATGCACCATCAGGCCCCCTTTGGATTGTTCTTTTACAGTTGACTTTTGAGAGTTCTTTATGTAATCTAGGTATCTTTTGTTGGATATGTGGTTTGCAAAATTTCCTACTTCATAGTTATGAAAATTTCTCCTTTTAAAGAAACTAAAATTCTGCACCGTTTAAACCCACAAGGCCCAGTGATAAACCTGAAGTCAATAAATTCTGAAAATCAGTTTTATTTATTGCCACTGTGGTGACCCAATAAAGGGCAAGATGATTGCAGGTGAACACCATTATTGTTAAAAGCCTATAATGGACCAAGTGCTGGGTTAGGATCTAAAGATTCAGAGATGAGAAGGCATCCTCTGCCTTTAGAAAATTAGTTTAATGGAGGAGATAGTTAAACAAAATACAAACAGACATGCTAGATGCCAAGATGGAGCTCTTCCAGGATGCAACTATCCCAAGAGAAGGAACCAAAGATAGACAATTTGAAGAAATCTTCCTGGAAAACACTTACCAAGCCTAGTTTAAGAAAATATCTGCTGTAGTTGCTAGTAGGTCCATTTCTTATGTTACAACACATTTTCCAACCTCTCAGAATTTAGTCTGCCTACACTGCAATTGTTAGTTAGACATTAGTGGACCTGAAGAGAAAATGGGGAGAGGTCCAAAACAGTATGTCTTTCCATTTAAGAAACAAAGACTTCAAAATACATAATACATTCAGAATCATTTGTTAGGTCTCAAACCTAAATTGACCCCACAGAGTGCAGTGACCTTTTAAGGTTACACATTGCATGCATCACCTCTGATACCGGGCCACCTGACTCAATTAAAAAAAAAAAAAGCATATACAGCATTCCTGGATGCCACAGCTGGCAGCCCAATGATATCAAGAAAGGAAATGTTCTCTAAAGTCCCTCTTGCCTTGGGCTGGAATTGGGTTTAAATTTAGAATTTACGTTTTATAGATTTCTTTGGTAAGTTTCTTATCTGACTGAAGTCCCTGAGGAAACACTGACCATCAAAAGAGGACAGGAAGACATCTTGCAATTTCAAAGTAACTTCTAAATAAAATGTTGATAAGTACATAATCACTTTAGTTCCCTGAATCCCAGGAGTAATTCATATGTAGATAAAAAGGTATCTATCTAGACTTGGTGCAGATGCCTTTGTGGTGCAGTCCACCTTTTCTCTTGAAGGTACAACTCTCTCTAAATCTACTTTACAATAAATTATACCTATACTTCTACACAGCTGCCTATGTACTTTTTTTTTTTCCTCGCTTTGTAGTTTAGGCTGGCCTTGAACTCACTATGTAGCTACGGCTGGCCTCAAACTCAAGACTATGCTCCTACCTCAGCTTCCTGAGTGCTGGGATTACAGGTGTGTGCTAGCACACCTGGCTTTGGCTACGTATCTTGAACAGAAGTGAGGGGTTACTTCCTTGCACCAAGACCGAGCTGCATGGGGACATAAATTAATAAGAAGGGCATAAATGTAGATGAGGATCATTTTTAGATTATTCTTTTCTTGCTATTTTGCAATACTTAGCACCTATCAGTTTTACGATGGTTCCCAAATGCTTCTGAATTCTTGAGGTATCTTTGCTTTTTTCTTTCTTTCTTTTTTTCTTTTTGGTACTAGGAATCAAACTGAAGACCTCACACTCGGCAGGCAGGCACTATGCTGCTGAACTTAAATCCCAGGCCCCATCTTGGCATTTTTTCTGTAAGGTAGGAATACTAGAATCACATAGTATTGAAGATTAAATAAAATGAAAAAGGTAAACCTTTGAAACAGTAACTGATACATACTAGCACACTCAATAAGTGCTGGCTATTATTATCCTTTGCTAAATCTATTCATGCTAGTCCCAAATCTACCTTCTGCATATTATAAGACCAGGGCTAAAGTTACATAAGATCAAGTGGGGAAAAACTAACAATTATCTCTGAATTACCCAATTTTATTTAACAAAAAAGGCTGCAGAGATTGAGTACCCTCCTATTTCCAAGGATGCAGAATAATCGTATCTTCACATAGGAAAGTTCCCAGTGTTAGAAAAGGTGCTACTCATCATTCACAGGATGAGAGGAACAAAGAAAATGGTGAGTACAGACAGATGTCTCAGACAGAGTCAGGACATCTAAGCCAGTAAAGCATTCAGGAATAATAACTTTGAGTTTTTTTTTTTTAATTTTATTTAAAAGAAAACGAGAAACACACAAAACAAAACAAAGCAGTGTAAGGGTACACGTAATACAGAACTACAAAAAAAAAAAAAAAACAGTAAGAAATCACCTGTTAATAGATTACATATTATCGTCTTAGAAATAGTTGCTCAAATCACAGTATCAAAGAATACAAAGTGGACATTCAAACAGAGAGACTGCAAACAGCTGTGTTCAATGATCCAAAAACATTAATATGGTCAGCTATTTAACACCCCTAAACACACTTGCTGTTATATCCGTTAGAGCTCTTTTTTTTCCCCTCTCTTTTTTACAACAAAATTTACACATTTTGGATTTTATTACTCCTTAGTTCTTATTACTTTTTTTGGGGGGGGGGAGAATAAAGTCAAATATGGCAAAACAAAGCTGTCAGTCAAAACCAAGGATAGACTTAGCACATGATGTAAAACAGAGTACAAGGTTATCAACAATGGTTATCAACGATGTCTCTTGTTTCCTTAAAAAGAATTGTCTATCTCATTAGATATTATAAAGTTGGACAAAACAGTAGAGAACAAGACCAATAAAACTTAGGCATTGTAAACATTACAGGACTTCATAACTTTGAGTTTTTAAGCATAGTTTATGCATCTCTTCTATGTAATACAGTAGTACAGGCCATAAGACTGATAACTACATGTAACAGTGGATTTCAAAATGTTAGTGTCACTTAATTTTTGTTACTGTTTTCATTTTGGTTTTTTGTGACAGAGTCTTGCAATGTAGTCCAATTTGAGTTTGAACTCCCTGTGTGGCCCTGGCTGGCCTTGAACTTTTGGTCTTCCTGCCTTGACCTCTCAACAGCTAGAGCTACAGCTACACATGACAAATTTTAAGTGTAACATTGCACCAGCATGATGGCACACCCCTATAATCCCAGCGTTAGGAAAGCTGAAGTAGAAGAAACGCTAACATCAACAAGTGTTAATCATTTATTTCTGGTTGTCCTCATTAAAGCTGTTTTTCTTATTCATTTATGTGAAAATTAATGTTTTGTTAGTTAACTGAGAAACGGTGTTTTTTTACCCTAACTGAAACGATTCTGGTGATGACAGATGGAAAAACATTAAGCACTGTATAAATCAGAGGACTAAAATCAGTATTTGTCGAAATGGTTCAATTCAACAATAAAGAAATTTATTTTTTCCCTTTTTACTATTTCCACTCATCCTTCCTAGGCATTTCTGTCTTAAAATCTGACAAAAACAAGAATTCACACCCAAATCACTACAAATGTGTTGTACCACTAGCTACATGTGTCTAACAAGTACTTAAATAAACCTACTCTCAAATGAGATGTACCACAACTGTAAAATATACACTGAATTTCAACCGAAAGTATTCATATTTTTATATTAATTATATGTCTTAATGAGATACCACTTTGGCTATATTGGGTTAAATGAAATACATTAATTTTTTAAAAATACATTAAACGTCATTTTTACTCATTTATTTTATGGCTCTATAACATTTATATAAGTGGCTTGCATTTGCACCTCGAATTATATTTTTATTGGACAGCATTGCTCGATAAAAGCGGGGAAAACCTGTTGTAAACATTTATTCTCTTAAAATTTCTAGAGGGAAAGAGACAGCGGACGTGACAAGGGAAGAGTTGAAACTTGTTCGCGGTAGATATGACCTACAGATGTAAATACCCAGAGTGAACTGAAAGGGCTCGGGGTAGTTTCTGCTGCCCTCCCCCGCAGCCAGCGAGCAGGTGGCAGGGCTCCCGCCAGCGCCCAGGCCCCGGCGCCCCGGACCGCGGCTCGGCTGCAGAGGGACATCGAGCCCACCTGCGGCCACCAGCCGCGCTCGCGCCCCTCCCCCGCCCGGGCTCTTATTCTCCGGGCGTCAACCGTCAGCGTCGCACGTCTCTCGGGAGAACCACCGAGGAGCTCAGGCCCGCCTCGGGTAAGCGTGCCGCTCGCTTTCCCCGAGCCTGAGCCCGGGAGCCGAAATGCCAGGGCCCAGCTGTGGAAGGACCGGCGCGCCACCGAGCCGCCTCTCGACGAGCGGCCTGGGGCCGCAGCTGCGGGCCACTCGCGGCGGGCGGAGCCGCGGCGGGAGGGCGCGGGGCCTCCGGGCCGCGGGGGGCCGCTGTGACCCGCCCTAGCCCCGCCGCGCCGAGGGCGGGGGCGCCGCGGTTTGGGGAAGAGTCGGAGAGCTGAGGTAGCCGCGGGGTCTGGGGCTGAGGAGCGGCGGGTTCACGGGCCCGGGTGCCGTCCGCCCTGCCGGAAGCGCGAAAGGAGCAGAAGGGCCCGCCGCGCTAGTCCTCCATGAGGCCTGAGTGAGGCGCTGCGGCCAAAGCCGGCCCGCCGCGCCTCCCCCGCGTGCTGTCCGGAGCGCACAGCGGCGGCCCGGAGGAGGAGGAGGAAAAGGAGGAGGAGCATGTCGGACGGTTTCGATCGGGCTCCAGGTGCTGGTCGGGGCCGGAGCCGGGGCCTGGGCCGCGGAGGGGGCGGGCCTGAGGGCGGCGGGTTCCCGAACGGAGCGGGGCCTGCGGGGCGCTCGCGGCACCAGCCGCCGCTGCAGCCCAAAGCCCCGGGCTTCCTGCAGCCGCCGCCGCTGCGCCAGCCCAGGACGGCCCCGCCGCCAGGGGCCCAGAGCGAGGTCCCCGCCGGCTCCCAGCGGCCTCCCCGGTCCGGGGCGCTCCCAGGTACGGAGCAGCTCTAGGCGACCCGTTCCTCTCGGGCCAGCGCTTCCCCGCGGCCCTGCGCGTGCCGAGGCCTGGCGTGGCGTGCCCTCTGTCCGCGGTCCCCCGAAAGCTCCACGAAAGGCCCGCTCGCTCCGGGGGAGGAACGAGCGGGGACCGGGCTAGAGGTGGCTGCCAGCTGGAATCCTTTGTGCGCCCCGGCTGGGGGAGGGGCCAGCGCGCGGGCTCGGAGTTGTGGCGTCCGGGGAGGAAGTAAAATGGGCTCCCTCGTCCCCGCCAGGTGAAGTGGGGCTTGAGGCGAGCCACCGCCGCTGTATCACCAACTCGGTGAAACCTAGAGGGAGGGATGGCCTCAGGCCTTCAGCTGGGGGCAGGTATCTTCAGAAAAACTAAGCAAGTCTTTTGTTCCTTTTGCAGGGTCTCTGCACATATCTTGGCCACAATCTTAAATTTTGTGTTTAACTTTTAAAATATGGTTCTTCTCGGATGTTTTTTCAGTATATATTAAGTTGTTATACAAAGGAATGAATTTATCTAACACCCCTTTTTTTCTTAGAACAAACGAGGCCCCTGAGAGCTCCACCTAGCTCACAGGATAAAACCCCACAGCAGAACTCAGAGTCAGCAATGGCTAAGCCCCAGGTGGTTGTGGCTCCTGTGTTAATGTCTAAGCTGTCTGCCAACGCCCCCGAATTTTACCCATCAGGTTATTCTGCTTATACAGTGAGTACACCGTTTTCCTCAAACCCGGGCTAATAGTACTGGAATACAGTAGGATTGCTTCATTAGTCAATATGCTCCTGCTTTTTGCACTGCACATAAAAACCATTAATTCATTGCTGTCGTGGAAACAACTGATTGTGAAATATTTTGTAATTAAAGTACTAGTATAGAACTTGAAAGTAATAATTTCTTGTTTCTTTGGTTCACCGAAGTATTTTCAGCTTCTAGAGTATCCATTAGCTAATAATTCTTACGAGGACATCTTCAATTTGTAAAAACAATGTTTCCGAATTTTATGGACAACCTGTAGAATGGCCAAGAAAAACTGATTTTATTTTAGAGAGGCAGCTAAATATTCATTCGTGGCTCTCAGGGTAAATGTGATGTAGTTTTTGCCATGTAGAGAAGTATTCATCTAGGCTCATTTCTAGTGATTGTTATAGTTCATTATGTTAAAATGAGAGTGTTTATGGTGCCGGTTACCTGATGCAGCATTTTTGGAAGGGGTTTTGATGAGGAATTTGAGTCTAAAAAAATTTCAAACTCTTAGTTTCAAAATATCTTAAAATTGTCCGTAGTTTTATTAGTAGCAGAAAGCACAAAATAGGCTATGTAGAAAGGAATTTGTTATGCTAGGTAAATCCAGGTGAATAATTGTGTAGGATTAATTGTACAGCAGTGGAAGAAGAATTCATGTGAATGGGTTGAAAAATTGGTATGTAAATATAAAGCTCAGTTTCCTGTTATCTTAATTTTATTAAAATATAATATGCCCATCAGATTATTCTGTTCCTACAGTGAATGCACCGTTTTCCTTAAATCCCTGGCTAATAGTACTGGAAAACAGTAGTGTGATTACTTCATTAATCAGTATGCTGGTACACTACACATAAAAACCATTAATTCATAATATGAATTCATGAAATATAATGTGGTATACATAAAGATGAGCTCAGTTTTACAAAATGAACACTTGAGTCACTAGTTTCCCAATCAAGAGATTCCTTTTTAATGATTATTTGCCCAAAGGTAACCACTGCTTTAATTTAAGATAGTTTTGCCTGGTTTTTTTTTTTTTTTTTGTACTGGGGATTGAACCCATGACTGCGCTCTTGCAAGGCTGGTGCTTATGCTGCTGAGCTAAATCCCCAGCTCATGCCTGTTTTCAAAGTGTATATACATATATGTTGTAACATAACTTGGTTTGTTCTTATAGCATTTCATTGCATGACCATATCGAAGTTCCGTTTGTTGACAAAAAAATAAGCAGCTTCCATTTTAGGCTATTAGGAATAGGATTCCTGTTCCTGTCCATGGCCTGGTGGATATACACCGTTATTTCTGCTTGGTATATATCAAGGAGTCGAACTCGGGATAGAATAGCCAGCTTAACTTGACATTGCCAAATACTTTTCCAAAGAGATCATTTTACAGTATACTGTATGATTTCTAGTTGTGCTGGGCAGTGCTTGGTATTTTCCATGTAGCTCTTCTGGTATGTCATATCTGTTCTGTTCTAGGTATGTCATATCTAGTTGTGGATTTAGCTTGTATTATGACTAATGATGGCACACAGAGGTGTTCTTTTTATATTTGATAGGAAAAATATAAAAAGCTGTACTTTATAGACACTACCCATCTTACATATGAAAAAGCATTGGAATTATAATGGACGGACAGAGTGTAGACATAGCCAGAGGAGCAGTTGATTGGGATGAAAAGCAGTTGATTTGGGGTAAAAACAAGCTTCGATTCTTGCCAGAAAAGCATATTTGGCTTACAGAGGAAAAGAAAGATTGGAGAGTTCTGTGACCATTTGAGTAACCTCTTAATGAGGATGTTCGCTTTCTGACAGCCACAGTTCCCCACTTGTTTTCCTTCCAGTTGACTTCTGTTTTATGATGTGATAGATACAGAGTCTTTCACAGTACTGTATGTAGTTGAGTGACTCCTGGACAGTAGACCAGTAAGTCTTTTATTTATTTATTTTTGAGTAAGTCTTGTTAGCTCGTTTATTTTGAGCTACTGTCTTTTAGATATTCTTTGTTATCCTCTAGTGGACAAGCTTCTGTGCACTGTTCAACAGAACAAATTATAAACTACAAGACTAGCTCATAGGTATATCTTCTTTGGTGCTCATTGTGTGGTTTCTAAAGTATTTTAAAGTTTATTTTCTGTTCAAATGAGATACTGCAAATCTGAATTTTCTGCTTTGTTGATCAGAGGATCTAGCCATAGTGAATTGGTATTTTGATAGAGCAGAAATTGGCTAGAGCAGAATAAAGGCACACCATTTGCTCCCTGGCTTTCTTTATTCATTTGTAACCCACTTGGATTGCAGAGGTATTCTGGCTTGCTACAATGATCTGTGCATTCTCTTGCCTTACTAGTTTACCCTCACATTTATTAAACTTTAGTCAGAGCTAAAAGTTTTCTTAATCTGTTTCGTTATAGCACAGCAGAACCTCTTGGGATAAGATGTTGTGAGGAAGGCTTTTCCTTACAATAACTATAATCTAGAATTAGCTACGCTCAACAAGTAGTTGAGTACTTAACCATGTGTCAGATTTGAACATAAAACAGCAAACAAAATAGACAAAAATTCCTGACCTCATGCAGTCTCTAGTCTAGTGGTCTCCTTGTGTTTCTAGGAAATTTCTAAGTGTGCTTTTTGTTCTTTATATGAAAATCATTTGCCTGGTATCCTGAGCTAAGTTTTTCTTAAGAATACATTCTTGTAGCCAAACACAGTGGTACACATCTGGATTCTCATTTATTTGTGAGGCTGAGGCAGGAGGACTACAAATTCCAGACTCTCCTGGACACTTAGACCATTGTCTCAAAAAATTACAGAGCTGAAATGTAGTTCATTGGTGGAGTGCTCCTGAATTTTTTCCTAGTTAAAAAAAATTTTTTTTCAAGCAGCCTTTTTACTTTCTTAACTCTTTCAAAGCTGCAGGGTCTTTTGTTTTTAGTCCTTTTTTTAATCTTGCAGCTAGGATTTATTTCTTTTCATATTCTCTTAGCAATGAAGTACTGTATCTGTTTATGCCTTGTCTTTATTTCCCAGGTAAACCAGTATGCATTAAATATTTAATCACAATTTACTTCCCCATCCCATGAACCATTCACAAAGCATTTATTAAGAGGTGAAAGTCCTCCCTCTACCAAAAAAAAAAAAAAAAAAAGGAACTCAGCTTTTTTTCCCTAAGGGCATCCTTCTTCAAATTATTATAGTTTTTTCTCTGCTTTTCACTAGTAATGTGCTCTAAAATGTAAATCTATTCATTTTTAGCACTGCTTTACCTCTCACTGACTGTGCAAACCTCTGCCGTCTGATTTCCCTAGATGTAGTAATACTGGGTTTTTTTTTTTTTTTTTTTTTTTTGCAAGTTAATGATACTCTCCTGATTTTTATTTATTTGGTACCAGGGATCAAATTTAGGACCTTGTGCTTGCCAGGCGCTTATGTCACTGAGCTAAATCCCCAGTGCTTTCCTGATTTTTAAATCTATTGTCAACTTTCATTTTAGTTCTTGAACATAATATGATCCATGAGCACAGTATTGATTTATTCAGTTTAGAACTCCCATGTGCTAGAGGTCAGTTATCTTTTTTTGAGACAGTCTGTCTTGTTATGCTGTGATAAAATACCAAAAACCCAAAGTTAAAAGAGGAAAGGTTTATTTAGCTCACAATTTGTAGAGGTTTCAGTCCATAATCGCCTGGCTGCAAGACAGTTTGGCACATGGCAGTAGGACAACTAAGCATTCATGACAGAAGACAGCAAAAACAATGGGAGAGAGGAGAGAACAAGCCTTTTCCTGTCTCTTACATTGTATGCAGGCTAGCCACCGTAGGCCAGTTTGTAGCACTCACAGTCTTAATCCCAGCATTAGAACATGGATCAATCATGAACTCTAGATTCAGCAGTTTCTGAAATCCCACCGTCACATACACCCTGGGCTTTAGGGAAACATCCAGGCACAAGCTGTAACAAGGTCTTACTTTGTAGTTTACACTGCCTTGAACTCATGGCTGTCTTGCCTCCTCTTCCTCCTGAGTGCTGGGATTATAGATGTGTGCCACCTACATCCCACCCTTTTGTGGTACTAGAGATTGAACCCAGGGCCTTCACACTGAGCTCCATTCCCAACCCTTCTTATATTTAAAACATTTTTTGAGTTCTTAAATTGCTGATATGCCCAGATTGGACTCAAATCTGTGATCTTCCTGCTCAGCCTCCCAAAATGTTGGTTTTATAGGCATGAACCACCATACCTGGTTAAAGTTACGTTTTTGTCTAGTCTGTCAAAAGCTCCTCTTATGGGATTGGAAAATGGCGGCGAGCTAGGGAATCGAGCGAAGAATCTCTCCAGAGAATTCAAACTCAAAGATAAAAAAAGACAGCATGGAGAGGACCAGACAAATTGATAGCGATTCTTATTAACCAAGACAGTACAACTGGAGGATTTAAAGTCGTGCTGAGACCGGAGGCTACAAATCCCGCGCCCTTAAATCAACAAACAGACTCGTGGACCCAGCACGAAAAGCTGAGTTGCTTTTGGAGACCGCGGGAAACTGAGACCCAGATCGAGACTCCAAGTAGCAGCCAGTTCTGCACCGCTGCACCAGCGCGGATGTACAAAGCTCTGGCGATTCAAATCTATACGGTGCACAGAAATCTGACCGGTCAGCGCTGAGCCGCGAGTGGGGGAAAAGTGGACAGCTTGGTGTGCGGCGGTCCCGGAACGCGGACTTGCACCGGACCCTGGTGAGTACAGAAAACCCCGCCGCTGCTGGGTTTGACCAGAGAACAGCTGGCCCGCCACCACGGGGAAATCAATAACACAGAATCTGGTGCAGACATATTAGCCTGGCGGCAGAAATCGCAGCTTAGTGACATCACCAGGTCGCCCTGTAGGGAGGGCTGGTGGAAGACATCTTAAGTCCTGGCAGAGCCTGATTACTTGTTGGCTTCAGCTCCACACAGAGAACTT